CAAAGGGTCGGTCCACCTCACGTCCCTCCACCCAAGGCAGGGAGGCTGACACCCGCAGAGAGGGGGGCGCGTGGGTCTGTCGCTGGAGGCTTTGTGTGGTCCTGCTCGCTTCCCCGGGGATCGTCTCCTGTTTTCCCGCCCAGTGGGCGGCCATGGGAACAATCCCGGGGGCGTGAGAGTCATGAAGACTGTGTTGATACGTGTACATTGATCGAGTCGGGGCGGTTTTGATAGTAAACACGGAATGCATTGACGTAATGTAAGGGCCCCGCCCACGTGAAGGCGCGTGACGCTCTACTTGACTTGCGTTGGGTGATTATTTTACGCTATACATCGTCGTGCTTCTCATCTGTGTCGCACGTTTGCGTCCTCCAGATCGCCTTCGCCGCGACGGCCAAATCCATGACACAGTCCAACGCCTTTACAAAGTCTTTCTGTGCTTCTCGGACCTCTGGGGACGGAAGTGCACCGGCTAATATCACGAGGAGATCTTCCATCCTCGTTGGTGGGGGGTCCACACCGCCCACATCGCTCGGGTGCGACCCACACTTCGCGAAGACAAGCCGTTCTCCATGCACACGTCGTGCAGCCCCGATATCCTCTCGAATGAAACTACTTTCCAATACGCCACCTGAAGTGGGACGCATTCTAGCCCGGGACACAAGGAGGAAGGCTCGCTTCAAGTAGACTCTGAGCTTTTCTTGGGCCTCAAGATAATCCCCAGACGCGTCATAAGCGGCCAGAACCCTCTCAGGAGAAAGCGTTGCGGTGTGTGCAGGGTCAAGAGCGCCATCTCCCCCCATGATGCACAGAATTAGATAAGATTTTATCCTAGCTTGGGGCCTACCGTCCTCTCCCACGCACAAGTAGCTTTGGTCCTGCTCTCTCTAGGCCCTAGAGATCTGACAGTGGAATCAGTGGCAGAAGATTTCTGATGAGGAGATCTAGGAAGGTCATGAAACAAAGGAGGAGGATTAGATGCACATTGCGCCAATACTGAGCATTGGGAGTTTCTGTAGGACGACTGGCAGCTCCTCTTAGTAGCTGGCTCCGATCCCGTCACGATCGGCATTGCCCCTTGTCCGATGCCTGATGTATCGACTCACACGCACTGCACTGGAGTCATCACCTTTACACCAGTCAAGCCTGTTCGAGCCCCTCTCACTCGAACACTGGAGATGCGTGTTTCAGAGGGAGGTATAGGCACGTCAGGGTATCGCCGAGCGCCGCCACGAAGACCGCGAGCAGAACAAGCGAAAGCTTCTGCCATATCAGCTCGAGCACATGGCCCGCCTCACCTCCATTTCGACGCCTCTGTCTCCCTCAGGAAAGTTGCCGGGGCCATTGAAAGCACGGCATGGCGCAGGAATACGGGCTGCAAGAGCCACGTTCACCCAGCATGGAACAATGCTTTGCCGAGAAGCTCCGACTCACAGTTGAGGTCGACCCAACCCCCCCCCCTTTGACCATCGGCTCAGAGAGCGCCTTCAGTCCCCTTCAATTGGAAATCCCGACGGATCATGGCAACAGCACCAGCAGTGGAGATTGTGTAAGCGATGACACCAGCAGTGTCGGTGACGGACGGGTGTGCGAGGATTGGTCCTCGGCCGCCTCCTCTTCGTCCTTGCGGCCCCATAGTGGACGGAAAAAAGGTGCCAAGGATGCGAAGACGCTTTGTATATCCAAAAGTGGATCGATACACATTGGAGGCTTCGAAATACGAAAATCAGGCCTCTTCCAGAAAAATACGCCGAATGACCTATACGCTAACCAATCTTCAGTGACCTCAACCCCTCCGAAGTCGTCCGGAGGACGGGAGAAACGCACTGGTGGCACCCCTCTCTCGCTCACCCTCGACGAGGGATCGGTCGCTACAAACGACATGGCTTCGTGTCCTTCCAGCGGCGGCAGCCTAGGTGCGCACGGCTGTGCCGACGAAACCCCCGGGCAGGGCCTACACGACTGCCTGGTCCCCTTGGGAGTGTTAGGCCGTGGCGCGGGTGGGAGCGTCTGGCAAGGCATTCACGTCCC